AAGTCCGGCAACTGTTTGATGATTTTTTTTCATCAAAATTTGAGCAAAAAATGGAAGTGTACAAAAAAAAATAGATTTTTTTTCAACAATGAACACTACAATGCTGATCATTCGGGGAAAATTTCATTTTTTGCCGAAGAGATTAAAAAATACTAGGGAAGTACATATTCAGCCCCGGTGTTGTGGCGGCTGACTAGGCAGTCAGCTCTACAAAACTAGTCAAAACCAACCACAAAACTGGTTTGAGGCACACAAGGTTGAAAGTTGGCCGGTTTTGAGAGTTTAGGGCTGTAATGTAGACGGTTTTGGAGTATGAGGTTTCTGAGATTGGCGTTTTGGCACATGGGAGCATATGCTCTCACTATTAGGGAAAACCTTATACACAAAAATTTAGCAACAGCTCGGGTTAAAAAAGGGCGCTAGTGCTAGATAGCAGTAGCGGTTCAAAATAAACCGCGCTGCAGATACGATTCTAGCAGTAGCGCCTGTACCCGTAAAAGCGCTACTACTAATATTCCCATTGCTGGAACGATGGGCTACGCATAGCAGTAGCGGCCTTGCAGGAAGCGCGCTACCGCTAGGGCATGAATAGCAGCGCGTTTCCCTGTAATAGCGCTACTGCTAATGAAAATAAAATAAAATGAAAAACAAATAGAAAAGTAAATGAAAATGAAAGAAACAGAAAAAGGAGAAAGAAAAAATAAAATGTAAAGCAAAATAAATGAAAAAGCGAAAAAACAGAGAAAGGCTTAGCTGTAGCGTGTGTTAGTAAGAGGCGCTGTAGCTAACGCAGCTGCAGCGCGTTTCGAGGACCCCCGCTATTGAAACAGAAAAGGAAATAAAAAAGAGAGAAACTTACATATGTATAGCAGTAGCGCGTTTTGGAAAAAGCGCTATAGCTACCTTAGCTATAGCGCGTTCTGCGAAACGCGCTACCGCTAGTTTTGACTTAATCAAAAAACCGTTTTCCCCCCGGCCACCACTTGCCCCCCAAATCTCTCGACCCACCCCGCCGCCGTCTCCCCGATTCGTCATCGCCCCACTTCGCCGCCGTCTCCTGCCGACGTCGACGCCCCCGGAGCCACCAGAGCCGTGCGCCGTCGACGCCATCGGAGCCACCCCCAACGCCACGGAGCCGCGCGGCCTCATCAACGCCACCGGAGCCGCCGTCGACGCCACCGGATCCTCCCTCGCCAGAACTGCCTCCCTCGCCGTCACCGGAGACGCCCCTGCCTCCCTCGCCACCACTGCCTCCCTCGCCACCATCGGAGCCATCCTCTGTAAGCCCCCACCCCTCCTCTCTCTCTCTCATGCATAGGTTAGCTAGTTTAATTATGTTAATTATCTAGGTTAGGGCAAAAATTTAGTTAGGGCTTTGACAGAGAAGTAGTTAGGTTAACTAGTTTAATTAGGTTAATTACCTAGGTTAGTGCAAAAATTTAGTTAGGGCTTTGACAGAGAACTAGTCAGGTTAACTAGTTTTATTAGGTTAATTATCTAGGTTATTTAGGCAAGTTTTATTTTAAAGATGATCCCTTCCTAGACTTTTATTGTTGATTATATCTTTTCATTGAAGTGGTCATGTTATTTGTGCCCAAGTGGCTTTGTTGTTTCAATGAAGCTGAGTGGCCTATATATATTTTGCGGGAATATTGATTCATTTCCGTTCAGGTAAGGAGGAGGCTCCATTAGTCGCTGATGTCGTCGCCATGGATGAGGATGAGGACGACGATGGCGCTGCTGAACAGTATGTCTATATTGGCGCCTCCTCAGGGTTTGAGCGTCATGAGTCGGTGCCTGAATTGCCGTCTCAACATATTATGGACGACCTTCCGGTAGTAAAGAAGTTTAGGAAGAGAGCGAGGAAAGGCAAAAAAGCTGTTTCTATGATCCAGCCGCCTCAGCAGCCTCGGCTTCAGGACCGTATAGATATCTCCGGTGCGGATAAATGGCATATCCCCAGTCAACCAATCCTACCTGCAACAGCGCTACGGGCCAGATTCGGCGATCTAAAGAGACTTCATGACGATGTGCTGCGGGTAGAGAAAGACCTCATCGCCTCGAAAGATCCAGGATACCCACTCTACGTGGTTAACATTCCGCGGCAAATGTCGTACGTCGACAGCTTCCCCGCGGATAAGTTCTTCCTCCGATTCGATTACATATTCGACATGTTTCACATGAAGAAGCTGGATTTTACGTTTGTCCGCCTTTATGCCTTGCACATGAACTACATCATCGGGGTTCAGCAGATATCTCATATCTGTGTCGCTGACCCGTACTACATGCACAAGGGCTTCTTGGGAGTCTGCGCAAATCACCGTGAATACGCGAGGGATTACATCGTCAATTTCATGCTCGCCAATAAGGACAAGGAGGCGATTCTCGTGCCTTATCATCCCGTGTAAGTCATCCGCGTTGCTATCCTTCCTTCGATTTTAATCATTCATTTGCACTATGGAGGCTAATTAATTTGAGGACTTATTTTGCCCAGCGGCGGGCGCGCCGTCCTCATCATCCTCTACCCCCGATTCTCCCACGCTCTTTACTTGGACTCGTCGAAGAACATTCACAAAAAGGATTACACCCACATCAAGGATGTTCTCGACAGTGCTATGTTTTACTACCAAGCAAGGGGTGGAGAGGTCAGGGACAAGAAGAGAAGGGGCGGCAGGGTCGCCTTCGGCAATAAGACCGACTTCTGCTGCATCCAGCAACCGAACAATTCTCTTAATGATGGATTCTATGTCCTACACCACATGCTGGAGTACAGACGGGATCACTAGAACCTTCGCATGTCACCTAGATCCGGCGATGCCCATATTCTGCAATGGGCAAAGGACATAGGAGATATCGAGGATCATCGACTTCGAGCTGAGTTCTATAACATCCAGCGCGAACTTGCCCAAATCATCATGAAGGAGGTCGTCGGAAAAACAGGGATGTTCTACGGGGAAGGACAAATGTCGCGGGAAGACGTGCGAACATGGATAGCCTCTCAGCGTCTCGACCTGAAGCCTTTCACTAGGCTCGGGGACTATCTCCCTGACTTGGATGGATGGAACGACATGTTGGAGTGATTGTCGATATATGACAATGTGTTCGTTTAGTCCATACTTTCTGTATGACAAAACTTTGAGTTATGCACGGTGAAACTTTATTTGTGATGTAATTAAACCGTCCTCCTCCTCGACTAGCGAAAATCACTCTAGTTAGGGCATTTTGGGGTACGATGAACTTTGTTATTTATGCTTATGATATGTTGTTTTTATTTTTGCCAAGTCTGTCTCTTTCTGTTGCTCAACTATATATGTTGCATATCATCGACTCATGTGATGATGCGGGTACATAGATCATAGATGGCGAAGAAGTGCTATGCCAGGAGTATATATACGACAAGTGGCCGGAGTGTCAGGCCCTTCCGGTTTCCGAGCGACAGGCAGTAGTTAGTTTAGAGGTTCACGCTAATGCGAAAGAGGGATACGAACTCATGTTCTCAAAGTGATAGCTCTTCTCGCGTATATCATTGTTTAGATGGATGACGATGTATTTGCATATCATTCGAGACTTGTATCGCTATTTTCAAGATGATGACGAGAGACCACTTTGTGTTGGATGATGATTATGATGATGACATGATTTGATGAGACTAATTGTATATATATGCTATGATTACATTTGTATGTGTATGATATGCTAAAGATTATTGTATAAAGCCTATTCAAATACAAAACAAATACAAAACAAATATGCAGGAAAAAAACTAATAAATAAATTAATAGTAGCGAGGGGGGAAATTTAGCAGTAGCGCCGCATTGTCAGTAGCGCGTCCCAGCAAACAGCGCTGCAGATAATATCAGTAGCGCTCTTTTCCAAAGAGCGCTACAGCTATTCATGTATAGCAGTAGCGTGGGACAACCGGCGCTACTGCTATACGTTAGCTGTAGCGCCTTATTAGTAGCGCCGGTGCCCGCGCTACCGAGAGGCCCAAAACCCTCGCTATTGGTAGGCTTTTCCCTAATAGTGTCCTGGATTTTGAAATGTGTTGTAAACATATTTTGAAATGTCTTAAAATTCCGACAAAATGATTCTCGCATACATCTCGACATTCTACTTGTATACAAACTCGTTTCGTGGAGAACCGGTAACCTTTGTGTCACATGCAAAAAAGACAAATTTAGTGTTATAAAAGGCTTTTCATGAGACATTTTTTTGTCTTTTTTACATGGGGTGTATAAAATATTATCTTTTTCACGAAACTTTGCATGTGCACATGCAATGTTGAGATGTGCGTGTCAAATTTGTGTTTTATTTTATTTTTTGACATTTTGAAATATATTTTTCGATGGCAGGAGCATATGCTACCATGTACCAAAGTGTATTTCCGGTTGTAGATTAAACTAAAGCATGAGTTGAGGGTTGAAATGTGCACTTCTCTCCTTATTTTTTTTAGTAGTTTGGATTGTTTGCCACATGTGTCACATGGTTCTCTTCTTGTTTTTCATAGTAGTATTTTAGCATTCTTGGTTTCAACTAGTAGTTTGTCCCCGCAAAAAAAACTAGTGATAGTTTGGCTATTTCTCATAAACAAACGTACAAATGCGAATCAACCTGTGGTTGAGTTGGTTAGGTGGACAGTGGTATTCTCAACCCATCAGGGTTCAAATCCTAGTGCTCGCATTATTCCTGGATTTATTTCAGGATTTCAGGCGATACGCTTTCAGTGGGAGGAGACGTTCCCGTCGACGACGAGGCGCCTACGGTGACTTCGTAAATCTCAAGATGATATGCCGGCTCAGTCTCTCGGAGGTGCTCATAGGGGTAGGGTGTGCATGTGTGCGTTCATAGGGGTGAGTGTATGCGCGTGTATATGAGCGCTTGTGTCTGTACTGTTGCTAAAAAAAACGTACAAATGAGTAGTCTGTATAATTCCATCCTATGTATTCCTCCTCTCCACTGTCTGCATGCAAGTCCGTTGGCAATAATAGCATTGACGACGATCAGCTCTCCATCTCAACGACAATCTTGCCAGTGGCATGGCCATCGATACTGCTCTGCCACGCCTTGCCTGCGTCACTCAACGGGAACCTCGAGTCGATCACCGTCTTCAGCTTGCCTTCCTCGAGCAACCCGACCAAGAACTCCAGGTCTGCCTTGTTGAGGGACAGGAGAAGCTGGGGCACGAGGCGCTTCTTGGAGAATGTCACCCTGTGCAGCACATATGTGAGGATGGCTGACAAGTTCGGGGTGATATCTATCACTCTCCCGGCGTCACTCAGCAACAGCTGGAAAGACGACCAGCTGACACCGACGGTGCAGTGAACCACGCCGTCGTACTTCCGGCCGGAGGGGCTCTGCAGGGTCGCTCCCTCTGGGGTCCTGTAGTCCATCACCTCGTCCGCGCCCAAGCTCTTCACAAGATCCATGTTGCGGGCGCCGCAGGTGGCGGTGACATGAAGGTTCGCCAGCTTCGCAAGCTGCACCGCGTACAGGCCTACACCACCGGAGGCAGCGGTGATCAACACATTCAGAGGCTTGCCGGTGCCGTCAAACTTGGCCCCAATGGACCTCAGCGCCTGGAGCGCAGTGCCTGCAGCAATGGGAAGGCCAGCACCCTCAGCTGCAGAAACCTTAGCTGGCCTTTTGACAGTCAGGTTTGCGGGTGCTACCGCGTACTCTGCAAGTCCACCTCCATTCTGTAATAGCGAAAACATTGTCACATTAATGAGCTTACGGCGATATTTTTTTAAATGAAAAGGATTGTTCTTAAACCTTCTTCTTTCTAAGCGTGAAGATGAAAAACATGGAAAGACGTTGTCATGAGTGAAGTTCACTTACAAGAGAGTTCAACTTGGCGACAACTTGATCACCCGCTGTTAGACCATTCACTCCAGGACCAACATCAACAATTACTCCTGCGACATCAGTCACTGCAGGAAAAGGAGCAGTAGAGATGCAGCTATTACCACATTGTTCGATGAACCGAGTAACATGCGTGCGCACACACATGTGTTATCTTTATCGGAAAAAAATTCTACATCTTTATCACAACGAAACGGTAAGAAACACTCTAGATAGTTGTTAAAGTGAAGAACCAAATAACATAGTAAGGCCCTGCTTGAAACGCGGGATATGGAAAGTACAGGAATAGGAAAGAAAATCACGTGCAAAATATAAGAATTGAAAACATAGGAAAAACTGCACGTATGCTATTTGGAATGGAGGAATTGGGACATCACAGGAATCCTAATAGCACAGTCAAACACAGCCTTAAGCCCGACCTGTCACTGAATCTTGCCCACAACTACCATGTACGTGTAACCCCGCAAAAAAAACCTACCATGTACGTGTAGCCAAAGAACATCCTGCAATCACCCTTTCTCCACCACACGTTCTTTCTTACCCCAACCTCATCTTCTCCATGCACGGTTCCTTCTTTTCTCTCTCTGCTAGCTTTTCGTTCAAAATGGCTAGCATCCACACAGTGACACTATGACTCAGGATAGTTACCTGGAATAAAAGGCAGTCTACGAGGCAGCAGAGGCCGCAGGTCCCCTTTCTGTATCTTCCAGTCAAGTGGATTCACGGTTGCAGCTTGTAGTTTCAACAGGACCTCATTCTTCTTTGCTGAAGGGACGGGGACTTCTACATGCTGCAGCTTAGAGAGATTTCAGAATCACATGGTTATAAGTTTTACTGGTTTATCTTCATGAAAGAAAGAAATCTTGATGTTTACTGTTTTTCTTTCTTTTCAAAAAACAAATTCCTTTGACTTGTTTGTTAAGCGGCAAAAGTGTCAAGATGTCAGGCAAATCTCTCTACGCTAAAATAGGGTTCTTGTGAAAAGAATCTCTGTCAACCGATTGACTCACAATCAGTGCTCACACAACTGACTTGCTACGATAAAGGATTTCCCCCCGCTTTATATATAAAGCACCACAACCAGCATACAACGGGCCATACAACAAAGCAAAAGAAAAAGAGTAGAACGGTAAAGATACAAGACACCGGAAGGACCACTAAGTCGGCAAACCCGATCCTGACTACGACACGACTAGGACAGGGCGGAACCCGCGGTCGGAGGAGGCCACGCATCCTTAACTCCGCCGAGGCCAACCAACGTCGAACCACAAGCCGTCTCTACCTCCGAAGAAGGCCTCTGCCCCCTCACCCCGGACCGTAGGGCGCGACACCGTCGGCGGGTAAAGCCGCTCACCCGAGCGGAAGGCCGGGCCAACAGGATGCCGGGGAGAGAACTGCAATCACGGCCACCTCACCTCGCACCGCCACAACCCATACTTCGTCACCGCCGCAACCCGAATCAACGTCGACCGAAAGCAGCCAAGCAGGAACACCACTGGGGAAGACAACCCTCCACCTGCGAAGCCTCGACCACCCATCCGCCGACCAAAGGTGGCGCCTTCAAGAAGGACAACGACGCCAGAGCGCCATCACCACCCAACTGGAGAGTTTGGGCTTTCGCCCAGGTCGCGGAGGAAGAGGGTGGAGGACAGACCTCGATGCCGCCCCAACAGGAGACGCCGGAGCGCCGGCGGCACCGTGGACGCAGCCGCGGACCAAGGGTTTCCCCTAGTCCAAACCCACCAACCCTCCATCCCCAACCAGCCACGAGCACCAGGCACACGGATGCCCGCCTCGCAGACCGGCGAGGCAAGAAGAAGTGCAGGGGAGGAGGTCGTCGCCATCAGATCCGCTCCAAGGGGCCAACGGGGAGACCCCGGAGCCAGCTCCGTGCCCGCCGCCAGCCCGCCGCCCACGCAGCCAGACATGGCGGCCTTCCGCATCAGCCCCGGCCACCCACCGTAGGGGAGCCGGTGCGCCACTCGGCAGCGGCAGCCGCCACAGATCCGGCGCGGCACGAGCAGGAGCCCCCGCCCGCACCCGCGCAAGCACCGCCACCACAGGGCCCTCCGCACAGCCGCCAAGCGTCAGTCCCGCCGCCCCCCGCTCGCCGTCGCGCACTCTGCCAGCGCTGCGCCACTACCTGTCCTCGCCGGCCCGTGCCAGCCCTCAACAAAGCAGGGGAAGAAACTCCCCGCCGCCGCCGAAGCAAAAGGGCGCCGCCCCTCCGCGCGGGCCTGCGGCGGCGAGGGGAGGGAGGGTGGGAGGGGCCGGAGGTTGGCGGCTAGGGTTTCCCCTCCGCGTCGCTCGCGGGAGCGACCGGAACTGACTTGCTCATCTCAATATTTGGATTTAGAGGTGCTGACTTAGGCGTCAGAAGTTGAGGCCATAAGAACTGTCTCCAATGCTTTTCCAAGCATCTAACTCAGGCATGATCCCTCTTATCTTCTCTTTTTACATGAGAAGTAAGAGTATAAAATAGTTCTTAGCCGTTGATCTCATTAATTAATGGATTGATTAACTTTTATCTTCTTACCTCACATGTAAAAAAAGAAAGTAAGAGGAACCATGTTAAAATTTGTTAAGTTTTAAATAATAAATTTCTGACTGGCTCACAAATCAGCACTCACCGAATATTTTGAGGATCCAGGAGTACTGAGTCATGATCACAACACAAAAACTACTACTCTCTACGTCCAAAAATAAATATCTTAACTTTGTTAGTACAAAGTTGTACTAAACTTAAAATACTTATTTTAGACTAAGGGGTATTATTCAGTGCTTTTTCCGAGCACCCAACACCAGGTATGCGCAACCTATTTAACTAATTTCACTGTAACATCTTAACTAGTCCTAAAGCCGAGGATGCAAGAGAAAGAGAGAATATATCTGAGTTAATTACATATAAGTATCATAATTGGGACAGTGCTAGTGGAGTGGTACCACTATCCTTAATTTTTGCAAGTCAGTTTCAAGTCTAAGGCGCGCGGCTACAGATCGATCTAAACTGCATGTAAACACGTATTGACAGTGAAACTGGCCGGTGGGGCCTGTCTGCCAGAGGCCCATGTGGCATGTCATTTTGCAGGAAACCCCCTTGCTTTATACTTAATCACACAAATGTCCCTCATGTGCCGAAAAAGACAAAAACAACACGGCCGTGCCAGGATTCAAACTCAAGACAAACCGAATGAAACGCGCGAGCTAACAAGTAAGCCAACAGGCATGATTGCAAAATGGAAGCCAACGTATACTAAAATAATAGAAGCCTGTATTTAGATATAGGCATGTCGCTATTAGCATAAACCAACAAGCTAGACAAGCTAGACTTGTACCGTCGACCTTTCAAAGTCAACATTTTGGTGTTCAGATCAATTTTTCTGTCCACATGATTAATCTTTGACAAAGTGCTGCTCTTCCGTTCTGTTACATATTATAAGAATACAGTGCAATTTTCAATACTAACATGGCATTGTTCTTCTTTTGATTGCTAATATGTCGTCCATACCACCATGGAGGCCTCGGCGTTCTCAACACGGTCAAATTCGCGCGCGCCCTTCATCTACGTTGGTTATGGTTTAAATGGATGGAGCCGTCCAAGATGCGGTTTGACATGAACAACCCTTGCGATGAAGAGGACCGTGATTTCTTTTATGCCTCCACTACTATCACTGTTGGGAACGGGTCCAAGAACTCTTTTTGGGAGGCGCCTTCGGTGCATGGCAGGAAGCCTATTGATGTTGCGCCTCTCATCCACGAGGCTTCCACAAGAAAAAACTGGAAAGTAAGAGACGCTCTCAAGGAAGGATTCTGGATCAACAAAATCAAGATGACTGCCAACTTTTCTAAGACACGCATTTGTCAATTTGTTGAACTTTGGCTTCTAATCTCATATTTCCCTCTTGAGGAGCAAGCAGAGGATGAGATTACTTGGAAGCACGCCAGGAATGGTCAATACTCGTCCGCAACGGCTTACTCCGTGCAATTTCTAGGAAAGGTCCACTCTCCTATGGATCACACGGTTTGGAAGGCCTCAACACCACCCAAGGTGAAATTCTTCGCTTGGCTCGCCATAAGATCAAATCTGGACAGCCGATAAGTTGGCCCGTCATGGATGGCCAAATTGTCATCTCTGCCCCCTACGCAAAAGAGAACAAGAATATGGGCTTCACCTTTTCGTCAAATGTCGATTCACCCAGCGACTATGGAATTTGGTCAATGAGTGGCTACATTTAGAAGATCTGACACAACTACTTGGCACCTCGAGGACTCCATAAAGAAATAGTGGGCAAATGGATCAAGCAAGAGCACCCCTGACCGGAAAGTCATGGCCTCCCTCACCATGCTAATGGGATGGACCATTTGGAACGAACGGAATGCACGGGTCTTTCGACAAAAGAGTATGCCTCCAACAATTTTGCTCAACAACATCAAGAGTGAAGCCATCTTTTGGGTAACCGCCGGGCAAAGAAATTGGGCAACATCGTACCGGGAGAGTAACACTTTTTTTTTGTTTTTCAGTTACCAGGTGTAATTCAAACTCTATTCTCCCTTAATAAATATATGAGGCAAAACTTTTGCCTTGGTTTAAAAAAAAAAGAATTCTCCACCAAGGGAGAGGCCTAGGAAACAACCAACATAGACTCTATTAGGAGTACTAGCTAATCAAATAGGCAGTGAATCAGCCATATCATCCTTAGCACCAACCTCGATCGCCAACCAGAATACAAAGCAAACTCACAAGCTTCCTTAGCACCAACCTCGATCGCCGACCAGAATACAAAGCAAACTCACAAGCTTCGGCCCTCTTCCCCCGCTATCCCAAATAAAATGAACACGTACAGAACTGCGGATCCGGTAACTCTTAATTACCTTGAGGCTGGCGGCGCCTCCGCCGCAGGCGTCATAAAGCACGGCCCGCATCTTCGCTGGCGTCGTCGTTGGGGTGGTCATGGACAAAGAAGATGGCCAAGAAGCATCGTGAGGGCTGTTTGTGTGTGCTAGCTGATACGGTGGGTTGTTGGTCGGCTCTCTATATGAATTTTGATTTTGCTAACCACATGTCCCGTGCAGTAGTTGGTTGGCTCTCTAGTTCTTATAATGGGGTGCACGTACGGCCTGTGTGTAGATTCCTCGCGTCCGCGTGTGTGTATATAGATCTATATATACACACGCGGACTCGAGGAAGTCTGGGTCTTAACTTTGGGAAATGTTTTACGTTGGCGCGCCGGTCAAACGCTGGGCTGGTCGCACCGCTCGATCGCTCGCGCAGCCCTCGCTGCTAGGCTACTTGCGCGCCACGTGACCGCTCAACCTTATCCTTTTCCATTGTTGTTGACCGCTCAACCTCTCTCCTTTCGCGAGACGCTTCTCTTCCACGGATATGGTTAAAAAGTCTGAACGTTTGACTACAAAGCATTAAACAATTTATTATGTGATCAGTTTACCAATTTCAGGAACAGGTGACGCAAAGGAAATGATTGCACGCGTACTGTCCTCTGTCCTTGCCGGATCAGGAGAAGGTCGTACGTATCACGATGCTTTGGGTATGGTGGGATACTAGGAGCAAATGCAACGCTGGGGAACCAAGGAGAAATGCTACTTCGGTTGTTGAAACTTGAAAGGGTGAGATCTAATGTTGAGTATTTCAAACTGTTTTTTGGGAGGGGCAATCAGCGAAAGAACAGTACTGAAAAATGGCAACCTCCCAGCCATGGTCCATGGAGCTCTCAAGATTAATGTGGATGGAAGTATGAACCAGGAGAATGGGCACGGAGGATGGGGATTTGTCATCCGAGATGATCAAGGGGATCCAGTGAGATCTGCTGCTGGGTACATGAATGCAGTGCTTGATCCTCTCACTGCCGAAGCAACAGCGTGTCTCAAAAGCCTTCAAGCTGCGCAGGATTGGGGAATTGCAAAAGTTGAGGTGGAGACTGAGTCCATCATGCTGGTCCAAGCTCTGAACTCCAGTGAACATGATCCAGCGGCTAATGGAGTACTTTTTAGGGAGACCAAATCTTTTGCTAGTCTAAACTTTAAAAGTGAATTCGGGTTTTTTCCCCTATATTAGCATTTTTTACACTAATTATCCTATTTAGCGAGGTTTCATCCGTTTTACCCCATTTAGCTTATGCCACGATTTACCCTGTTTAACATTTTGCGAGTGTTTTGAACGGCAGTGGTCCCAATTGTCAGGTGCAGCTACATCGACGGTTTTTGCCCGCATAGTTTTCTTTCTGCTGAACCGGTCCTCGCAGCTTCTCTCGACCGGGCCGGCCCGATGGAGGTCGCTTGCGTCGCATCCAACGCACAACGCCTGAGTCGGCTGCATGCCACACTCACCCCCAATTGATTGCATCGCCCGTCTAGGCTTCTAACAGAACGAACCTAGGATTAGGGATTGCGAGGCAGCGGTGGCGGCAACGGCACCGGCGGCGCGATTTCATATCTCCTCGAACAGCTTTGTATGACCGCAACATCAAGGCAAAAAATGACCCAGTGGAATCCGACTCCATCAAGCTCGCCGATGTCGGTGTGGGCGCATCCATGTACGTGACCCCATTAGGTTGTGCTCAATTGCTCTCCTACTTTAGCGACATAGTAGGGACCTCATCAGGCTCAGTTGATGGCGGGTCTACGGCGACCGCTAGTCCAACAAATCAGTGAGGTTGGTGAACAAACAAGCCCTCTCAGTCGTACCCCATTTCACATGATTTTGACCATGTCTATCATAGCAATTTGTGTCTCTCAA